TTTTTTCCCCCCTCACAGTCAAAGGAGTCATCGTCAGTGTTGAGCTGCGACATCTCCATAGACGATAAGTACATTGTGACGGGCTCAGGTGACAAAAAAGCAACCGTCTACGAGGTCATCTACTAGGGAAGCTGAAGCGGCGTGACGTCTCCATCATCTGTGTACAAATTTAWATGTGTAAAAGTCAAAACGAACAAACCAAACCCTTTCTCGGACCACGAATGTTTAACTTCCTGGTCCTGGCTGGTTGTGGATCAAAACGAACAAGCTGAACTAAGCACAGAGATTATTTTTCTTTTTTTTATTATTATTATTATTTCAATTTAAGTGATGTTTTGCTGTTGTGAGAACTAAGGAACGTCCATGTGCACTGAGTCTGGAGTCACCAGATAACATTCCTTTATGTAACATTTTGACACAAGCCTTTGCTATTTTTGATTTTGTTTTTCAACAAACAGCTGTGAAACAAGTGTCTTTGTTTATGTATACAGTATTTATCTATATACTTTGTATATATTTGGCTTTAAACTTTAAGTGAGCTTGGTGCCTAATCCCAGTTTCCTCTCAAAATACAAGAGGCCATTTTTTTGTCATTTCTGCATAACTGCGCCTAACAGAGGCCTAATGGTAATTTCTGAGGCGCGCACGTGTCTTGATCGACAGAATTTGCAATTATGCGCCTTTGATTTTGTGTTTTTAGGCAAAMAAATGAGGCTTTGTTCAAAGACAAAGGTATTTTTTTGTAAGCTCCAAAGGCAATATATTCCCTCTTGTGTGATTGATTTTGTCTTAAAGTGCATTTTATCTTGATTTTTTTTTAATATTTAAAAAATATTTATGTCAAAAAAAGCCGTCCACACTTGAAAAACATCCTAATTTAATTTCACTACAGTTGCATGCTGAGTGGTGCTCTAGCTTGAAAAGGTTTCATATTTATCTCCGAGCTCCTTAAGGACAAACAGATTATAAAAATGTCGTGTTTTCGTTCGGAGAGTAGCTGTGATCACACATTAGTTTTGACTTTAATGCAGGAGGGATTAATGAGTTAGCTCAGCTTGGCACGAAGGWTGGTTGAAGCTCCGCCCAAAAACGAAATATGTCTGCTGTAAATACACATACGATGTGTTTAAACTGTATTATCTTTACACATTAAACAAAGCTGGCGTGCCATGAAATGAATATTTGTGTTCAAAGCATCAACCGACGGCTTCTTAAGCAGTTTGTCTGGACTTTTTTTAAAAACCCGTTATTTTTAATATTTTCGATTCTGTCAGTTTCTTAAAATGGTTTTATTTTTGTCACTTTTCCTGTGTGATGTGTGTGTGTGTGTGTGTGTGTGTGTGTGTGTGTGTGTTGACCCTTTTGGCGCTGTATGAAGAAAATCAGATTGCCCTGAGTATCCTCACTACTGACTGACATTTGCACTTGGTTTTGACTTTCTGTGTGAACTCCTGTGGATGTTCCTTCTGATAGATTTCAGTCAAACTGATTTATTGGTGTTTGGAGGTCAAACTTCTCATTTCAAAACTTGTTTTTGTTGTTGTTTGTTTGTTTGTTTGTTTTTTTTAAAGATGTTTGAACTTACAGCTGAAGAAAAAAATGGTCAGTGATAAGGCGGTGATTTATCTCGGACTTACGTCTGTTGGCTTGTAAAAAACGACACAGTGCCTTTATGCTGCTACGCTTCTGGCATTTTATCCAGCTGATTGTTCAACAACACACACTTAATGTCACACTTTTTT